TCACAATAAATGACTCCTCATCTAGCACACAGCCCTGCTCATATACATTCCTCTACTAACTTCTTGCTATCGCTATGCCATTTCCTTACAATGAAAATGCTAATAGTTGTGTTTTAATGTTTTGTTCAAAATCACAAAGAGGAACAAGGATGCCATCATTAAAAGACTAACCCCACCCCTCACTCAAGCCTCGCCCTTCACACTAACCCCACCCCTCACTCAAGCCTCGCCCTTCACACTAACCCCACCCCTCACTCAAGCCTTGCCCCTCACTCTAACCCCACCCCTCACTCAAGCCTCGCCCTTCACACTAACCCCACCCCTCACTCAAGCCTCGCCCCTCATTCTAATCCCACCCCCCACTAACACAACTAACACCTTCTGCCCTCACTCTAACACCTTCTAACTTGTCTTATTCTTCTTATTTTTTTCCCCATCATTTTCCCATTAATATATCTTACTAATTACCATGTAAATATTTAATAAATATAAACCCAGTCCCTCTAACCACACATCACAACTCCACCCCCACTTTAACCTCCACTCCTCCATCTAACCTGCCAACGAATATTTTGTTGCCTAAATAATAATAAAAATAATTAGTAATTAATGTAAATAAATAAGTATACAAATAAATAAATATTAAACAAGATAATCCACAAAACAGCTTTAACATCAGGAATACATTGTATTTTGACTTTTTACTGTCTATCATTTTAAGAGCTATGACTAATAAAGGTTTGTAACCCTCTGTGTTTTTATCTCTGCAGTACACTCTTGCTAAAAACTTCTGAAACTTCTCAGAACTTTGTGTCCATTTCCTATAATCCCCCCCCACACACACACATACACTCTGTTTTATCTCTCATCCTTCTACAGTGTGAATTAAACTCCATTCCTCACACTCTGAAGCTCATTATGCCACAGCGTTCCTACTTCTCGACGCTCTAATCACTCAGGATTAGTTCTCCATGGCTGGCTGAGGTAATTCCCTCTGATACAGGTGTTCCTCTGGGAGTAAATTTCCATCCGGATCTGCAGGGATGGTGTTCCTCTCCACCCCGTGAGAACATTCCAGCACAAAACACCTCCGCTTAATCACACAGGAGATGGACAAGATGTTTTATTACACACAGATACACATGCACACACACACACACACATACCTTGCAGGAATGGGATCTCCATTAGGACATGCAGATTGACTTCTGATTTATGTTTCCGCTTCAGAAGAACTGATGATGAACCTCAGCTGTGAGGAGAAACACCTTCATTTATATTATTCATCTTTATTAATTATAAACTCTACTCACTTTCACTCACTGTCATACATCCTCATTAGCATAAACATACACACATACACACACACACACATACACTGAGTATAAGCTGAGTGAATGATGAGGATTTCCAAATATTGTAGGTATTATAAGTCCTCACACATACACACACACACACACACACACAAAACCCTGGCACTGGCATTTCAGAGTTCCACTATGAGGTGTGTGTGATAAATCTAAAATGTCTCCTGCTCGTCCACTACATGGTTGATGTTTAATCTATTCACCCTGTTTTTTCCACAATAAACCTCTGATTGAAGTGCGCGTGCGTGTGTGTGTGTGAGGTTGTATTACAGGAGCACTCTAATCTGCTCATGTTTAATATTCTTCTTAAACCATTACACTGATCCCAGATCAGCATCCAGAACATTCTGTACACTGACTGAGAGGAAATCTAATGAAAATACTGATACTAGAGTCACAGAGATCATAAAAATGCCTAGTCATGTGCCATGTTATTGTTAATGCTACTACTATTACTATTATTATTACTATTATTAGTAGTAGTATGACTACTACTAATACACATACTACTACTACTACTCTATTATTACTATTATTACTACTAATATTACTACTACTACAACTGCTACTACTGCTAGTACTGCTACTGTTACTACTACTACTACTGCTAGTACTGCTAGTACTGCCACTATTACTTCTATTGCTACTGCTAGTACTGCTACTATTACAACTACTACTGCTAGTCCTGCTACTGTTACTACTACTATTACTAATACTACTACTGCTAACACTACTACTATTACTACTACTGCTACTGCTTGGACTGCTACTACTACTACTATTGCTAATACTGCTAGTACTGCCACTATTACTTCTACTGCTATTACTGCTACTATTACAACTACTACTACCACTATTACTGCTACTACTGTTACTACTACTATTACTATTAATACTACTGCTAACTCTACTACTATTACTGCTAATACTGCTAGTACTGCCACTATTACTTCTACTGCTACTGTTGGTACTGCTACTATTACAACTACTACTACCACTATTACTGCTAATACTGCTAGTACTGCCACTATTACTTCTACTGCTACTGTTGGTATTGCTACTATTACTACTACTACTACCACTACTACTGCTAGTACTGCCACTATTACTTCTACCGCTAGTACTGCTACTATTACAACTATTACTACCACTATTACTGCTACTACTGCTAGTACTGCTACTATTACAACTACTACTAACACTATTACTGCTACTACTGCTAGTACTGCTACTGTTACTACTACTATTACTATTAATACTACTGTCAACACTACTACTATTACTACTACTGCTACTGCTAGTAATGCTTCTACTACTACTACTATTGCTAATACTGCTAGCACTGCCACTATTACTTCTACTGCTACTGCTAGTACTGTTACTATTACAACTACTACTACCACTACTACTACTACTGCTAGTACTGCTACTGTTACTACTACTATTACTATTACCGCTACTACTGCTACTACTACTACTATTGCAAAGGATTACAAAGGATTTTTTTCAGACAATTTATAATGTATTAAATGTAGAATAACAAAATATTCCAAATGTCTACTTAATATTAAACCAAAGCACCATAAATATTGCTAGTACTAGATACTATTAGTATATTAGAAGAAATATGTTAAATATTAAATATGATCAAAACTACTGTAGGTTTATATTCTTAATAAATGCAAACAAATAATCCCATTTATTGAATTGATATTGATCATATTCATGTTTGTATATGTGATGTCTAAATTTTTATAATTATTTATTTTTTTTTTTCACTATAGTCCCTTGATGTTTTTAAAGTGTGTGTATTTTCCTATAAAAACTGATTTAATGTTTTTTCTTCCGTTTTCAGTATTTTAGCTTTTTTTGTGTCCAACTCTTCACCAGGTTGTGATTGAAGGGTTTAAAAAGGTTGTATATTATTGTGTACTGGTGTGATCATGCTAACAAAGCTCACATGAATGTGAAAAACTGAACAATGGCGGAGCTGAGGTTAGTGAGAGTGAGCGGCTCTGAAACCCGACACGGCTTTATGAGAGCAGTATTTATGAGCGGTGTTGGTTTGTTGCGGTGGGTCGGTGCATTACTACACCCCTGCGTTTACTGTCGCAGCCTTTAAGAGTTTTAAACATGCGGCTCGTCGTGTAATAAAAGGCTGCAGGGAAGCCGGGTTTATGTCTCAACCTCCTCAAAGCTTTATGAACCCATAAAACACATTTACATGCTCTCTGACATTGGGGGCCCGAGGCTCGAGAGGTGAAAAGGTTATCAGGAATATCACATTACTGCTACTCTTAAAGGCTGAACAGAAAATCCTGAAATGTGGATTAAAAGAAGAACAAAGTGAGCTCATGTCTGTTTTATAATAAAGTTGTAGTTTAACTTCTGGAAATGTTCTTAAGTCTGAATTTCTGTATACACACACACACACACACACACACACACACATATATATATATATATATATATATATATATATATATATATATATATATATATATATATATATACTGAGACCTGTAGTTTTACACACACTCGGTAATTCACTTCACACTGCTACAATACGAGTTGTGCAAATCTATCACACTAATGTATCTGCCTAATGCTTGCAGGAAAAATACACAAGTTAACTTGACAGTGCACTATTTTAATAAATCCACTGTATAGCTGATATAGACTATTAGAGCACTGAAAAAAAAAGAGGTTAAACAACCAGGAAAGTTAGTGGTCTATTTAAAAAAAAATCACTTTCTGTATTAAACATGTACTTTGGTGGTTTCATTTCAGGAATTTGTAGCAATTTGAATTTTTTTTTGTAGCAATAGGTAACATCTGTAACATTTGGATTGTATATGTAACAGCAGGTCATGATGATGTTTATGTGTATCTCCTAGTGAAGTGTGTGAATTCAGTCCCTCATTGCTGTGCCCTACATAGTGCACTATACAGAATAGTGAACAGTGCACGAGTGAGTGAATGAGTAATTACAGACACAGCCATTTTTTCCTGGGGCCAAATTCAGAAAGAATCTTATTTTACCTCTAAACGTTCTCTTAAGTGGCACTGAAGTTCTTCTCTAAGAGCAGAGAGGAGGTTTTACTGCAGAATTCCTAAACTGAGAGGGTGGTGTCAAACCTGTCGATACGGATGAACAGAATGAATTTATGTTTCAACGACAGTCATGTGAAAAGTGATCAAGGCAAAAAAGGAGGTGAAACAGCAATGTAACTGAGAGATTTAATGTTTGATGTTCATTCATTGTCATTGTTCTATCACGGTGATGTTTGATATTCAATAAAATTGAGAAAAACTTTCTGGCCAAACAGCACAAAAGTTCCTCTGCATCCATGTTTATTATTAATTTCCCTTACATCATCCATCCATCTATCCATTTTCTGTACTGCTTTTCCTACACAGGGTCACGGGGAGCCTGGAGCCTACCCTAGGGGACTTGGGGCACATGGCAGGGGACACGCTTGACAGGGTGCCAAATCCATCACAGGATACAATCGCGCACACACACACATTCACACACTACAGACAGTTTTGGAAATGCCAATCAGCCTACAACGCATGTCTTTGGATTGGGGGAGGAAACCCCCGAAGCACATGCAGAATTCTGCGCACACAGGGCAGAGGCGGGATTCGAACCCCCAACCCTGGAGGTGCGAGGCAACAGTGCTAACTAAGCCACTGTGCCCCCATCCCCTACACCATTTATTATCATTTATTAAAAGAGACACATTTCTATCTCTCTTTCTCACATTTCTCCTTTATCCATAGGCCAACTTTTGCATCTCGACCAAGCATAAAAGTGTTTTTGCGATATTTTGCCATTTTTTCACGTTTCTGTCTTCTTATTTTTTTGCTTACATTTAAAAAATTTGTATAAAAGAGCAGAATGGAGCTGTCTGCTTCGGATAAAGAATATCAGCCCAATGAGTAACTGTAATATTACGCCTACACCTAACCTATAACTCTAACCTCAGTACCAGCTGTAACTTAAAATCTTTTTTGCTGGACTTTTTGTGAAAAAAAAAGAAATAACAATATTTATATGTATTTTCCTCATGAGGTCAAGACAAATGTCCTCACAAGGTCAAAATTATTGTGTAAAAAGTTTTAATACTATGGAGACAGCTTTTAGTCAGAGATATAAACCCTGAAATGATTCTGATTCACCAAATGTGTGTGTGTGTGTGTGTGTGTGTGTGTGAAGTAACAGCAGTGATTAATGTGTCTTTCTCTCTGAAATTATAACTCTTAAAAATAGCACCAGAAATGGAACTTGAGAGAAATTGAGTCGCTCTCTCTCTCTCCCTCTCTCTGTCTCTCTCTCTATATATATGTGTGTGTCTGTGTGTGTGTCTGTGTGTGTTATTGATGATGTTTTGGCCGGTGTGCAGTCTCAGTGTAAGTGACTGATGACATGTGGGAGTCAGAATGAGGTCAGCAAAGAAAAACGTTCCGACATTTTCTACATTTTGTGAATCTTTTATCATTTTTTCATGTTCTCTGAGAGTGCGCGCACACACACACACACTACATCGTGTAACATAGATATTTATAAACCTAAAATATTTTTTTAATTTATGTTAATTATTATACAGTTAGATATTTTAATTTTACTTTTAAAAAACCTTCAGTGTACATTATTGTATGCAACTTTATTTGCTTTGTTTGCCGCAGAACAGGCAAGTTTTACTGAGATTAAATTCACTGATGCCTGGTCAATATTATCAAAAATATTAACAGACAAAAATATGGAATTAAAAGCAATATTAATACATGACATAATCAAAGTTTTTGAACTTATTACCTTTAATGTTTTTTATATTATAACCAAACTTCAAAAATGATAATTATATATATATATATATATATATATATATATATATATATATACATACAGTCAGGTCTGGAAGTATTTGGAGTATTATAAGTATTATAAGTATTATAAGAGGTTCCACAAATATATGGCATTTACCATTTAGGAATTACAGCTATTTTAAACAAAGTACTTCCATTTTCAGGGGCTCAAAGGTATTTGGACAATTGTCTGACAAGAAGTTAACTGGCTAGGTGTGGTCCATTCCCTCATTACTTCAAGACAAATGAAGCAGGTAAAAGGTCTGGAGTTGATATCAGGTATTGAGTTGGCATTTGGCAGCTGTTCGACTGGAGCTACCAATATGAAGTCCAAGGAGATCTCAATGCAAGTGAAGGAGGCCATCATTAGGCTGAAAAAAGCGACATAAATCTATAAGAGAGCTAGCAAAAACCTTAGGTGTGGCCAAATCAACAGTTGGGTACATTCTTAAAAAGAAAGAAAGCACTGGTGAGCTCAACAACATCAAAAGGCCTGGAAGACCACGGAAGACAACTAAAGTGGATGATCACAGAATCCTTTCCTTGGTGAAGAAAAACCCCTTCACAACATGAACAGAAATCAAGAATACTCTGGAGAAGGTAGGCGCATCATTGTCAAAATCTACAATCAAGAGACGCCTTCATGAATGTAAATACAGAAGGTTTACAACAAGGCGCAAACCACTGGTAACATTCAAGAACATGAAAGCCAAATTAGACTTTGCAGAAAACATCTAAAAAAGCCTCCCATGTTCTGTAAAAAAGATTCTTTAGACTGAAGAAACCAAGATGAACTTGTACCAGAATGATGGGAAGAGAAAAGTATGGTGAAAGAAAGGAACAGCTCATGATTCAAAGTATACCACATCATGTGTCAAACATGGTGGAGGCAGTGTTATGGCATGGGCATGTATGGCTGCCAATGGAACGGGCTCACTGGTGTTTATTGATGATGTGACTGCTGACAGAAGTAGCAAGATGAATTCTGAGG